TGTGGAGAAAGTGAATAAGGAAGTGTTATTTAGCCCTTCACATAACAAAAGAACCAGGAGTTACTCAATGAATTTAATGGGCAGCAAACTTAAAACAAACAAAAGGAAGTACTTCTTCAAACAGTGCACAGTCAACATGTGAAACTCGTTGCCCGGTGATATTGTGAAGACCAAAAATATAACAGGGTTCAAAAAAGAATTAGATAAATTCATGGAGGATAGGTCCATCAGTGGCTATTAGCCAAGATGGTCAAGGACGCAACCTCATGCTCTTGGGTGTTCCTAAATCTGACTGCCAGAAGTTGGGCCTGGACGAAAGGGGATGGATCACTCAATAATTGCCCTGTTCTGTTCATTCCCTCTGAAGCATCTGGTACCAGCCAGTGTTGGAAAACAGGATATTGGGCTAGATGGACCTTCTTTCTGTATTCTGTACAGAGCTGTATTAATCTTTGGTTAAATAATCTCATTTGAGCTTGTTATTTGACAATCTTGAATCATTATTAAATTCAAACTTGCAACATTCTATATGCGGAAAATATCTCTTGTTCTAATACATAATGTGAAATGCTTATGTACAATAAAAGAATGTGTGGAGTATGTCCTCCAAATTTAGAAGATTATAAGGGATTTTGTTGGTTTTCATTGTAAATAATTGCTGTGGTCTAACAGTAATAGGAATTGTCTGGCACAAGGAAGAAGAAATGTTAAAAGATGTAAACCAGGGTATAACCTGGGAAAGTGACAGAAATTGCTTAAAAGCAGGGATCCTAATTGACAGTAGGGGCTAAAAATGAAATACAGTCCTTGAAATGAATCAAACATAAACAGCCTCCAATAAGAAAAGAATTGAAGAAATTTGTTATACACAAATGCCATGTACTGGATACTAATGGAAGCAGCAAGCAAATGGAAAGAATATGAATAAGAGGATGCTCCTTACCCTCTTAGGAGCCCTGAAACTAGGATATATAAACTGTATTTTTAGTAAAAAATTCTCCCTTAGTAGCATAAAATCTCTGTCACTTCAGATCCAAACTGGTTCAGTGTTAGCACTAGGAAGTTATTTCAATACACTAGCTAAGTCATTGTGAGCTTTTTGATACACACTTTCAAAAATAGGAGCTTAAAGTTAGGTCTGGTCTACACTACAGACCTATACCTATGTCACTCTAGGGTGTGAAAAATCCCAACCCAAGTGATGTAGTTATATGGATCTAACCCCCCATGTAGACAAAGCTAGGTTGGTGAGAGAGCTTCGCCTGTCAACATAGCTAGTGCCTCTCAGGGAGATGGAATAACTACGCCGATGGGAGAGCTCTCTGCTGTCGGTGTAGAGCGTCTTCATTCAAGTGCTACAGCAGTGTTTTAAGTGTAGACTTGTCCTTAGGCTCCGAAGCCCATATTTTGGCATCTAAGGGTGGGTATTGTAAAAGCACTGAAATGGTTTAGGAGCACAAGTCTGATTGAACTTGACCTGTAAATCCTGGTGAAGGAGAATGGCTGGGTCAAAGCATTCAGCTGCTGTGACTGGGGGCAGTTCGCTCTGTGGGAGGGTGGTGGTGGTTGCAGGTACAGGACAGGCTACTGTCCGGGCAGTTTTATGTCTGAGTTTGTGTTGCTCTCACATTAAGGGTGTTACTAAGATGCTGACTTGTCTTTTTCAGTCTCAGAGAAACAAGCCCAGAACAATCATTCTAACAATTTAGCGGGAGAAAGTAAAGAGCTGGCAACACAGAAATACAAAATCTGATTGACATTGAAAAGAGCAATTGCAACTAAGAAAATATCATGATTTAATTTTTGGAAAAATATTGATTTGTATCAACTTTTCTGGGGGCTCCCCTCACCTCTGGAATGACTCGTCCCCAGCCCTAGGGCTGCTCCGGAAGGTCCGGCCCTGCAAGGGGGAGTTACCTGATGTTTATGGCGATGTTAAAGGTCCTTTGAGCCCTGGTGCTGTCACATGTCTTGGGGACTGTGTGCATCTCCAGCGCGAATGGCGCCTCGCCCGGCTTGGGGAGCACATTGTACCTCAGGCTGGTCTTAAAGAGAATACATGGTTCTCTGTGTGTCTCCATCTGTCCATCTCCTCTATCTCCTTCCCTCTGCTCAGTTTCATTCTTTCCTTTATCTCTTCTCTCTCTCTCCCACTTCCCCAACTCTCTCTGTCAACTCTCTCTTCTCCTCACACCTCTTTCCTATTTTCTCCTCCTCTCCCCCATCTCTTCCTCTCTTTTCCTTCCCTCCCTCCCCAATCCACCCCATCTTGCCATCTCCAATGGGAATGAGATGGGCTCCCCTCAGCAGCAGCCTCTCCCTCTCCACTTGCCCCAGGGCCCCATACCTGCACGTAGACACATCCTTCTCCTGTCACCCCCGTGCTGTAGTCCCCTGGCACCTCTGGCAGTGCCACACGCTGGAGCAGCAGACGGTTCGTGGGATCCACCTGGAACTGGGACTGGAAGTTCCCTGTGGATTGCAGGGCTCCTCCGCTCTTGGCATAGGTGGAGACTCCATATCGGGACAGTGCCTGGAGTGCCACCACTGTGTCCTGCCAGACAAGAGATGGGCCCAGGTGCCCAAGGGGATGAATGAGCCATTTCTATGGGCCCGGAGCCCCCACTCCACTGGCTCTTTCTACACAGCAGTGCCCTGATTTTCCCATTTCCACTCCTCACTCCCACAAGCCATTCACTCTATTCCCTTTCTCCCACTGAAAGCAGCCAAGTGTCTAAGTACCTTAGGGAACCTAGGCCTTGGGATCTCTGACACTCCACCACAGGCATCTGAGGGAAGATGCCACCACCCTTGCCCCGAAGGGACAGTTCAGGACCAGGTGAAATAGGAGCTGCCTGTAGCTCAGAGAGGACCCTGGTGAGGCAGTCAGGAGGCTCAGTAATGGAGTATGAGAAAGTCTTTCAGCCCTTTGGGTATCAAGCCAACCAGGGAAATGGTGGAACATGGGGCCAATGATTGGTCCTGTCTAGAGAGGTCACTCCCTGAGGTCCCAGCCTCCAAGCACCAGCATGGCCTGCACCTGCTCAAAGGGGTAGGTGGCACCTCCTGTTTGGTTGTCACTCAGGATGATGCTCCTCTCCCCCCTTTCGGGTATGTCCGGCAGTGACTGGCTGCTGCTGCTTCTCTGGGAAGGCCTCTGCTCCTGAGCTGAATTGGCCTGGCTGGATGGGGTCAGTGCTGGGGGGAGCTGGGGATGGCACTGCACTACCTTGTGAGTGCTCAGGGCGACTCTTCTGTCCTCCATACACAGGAGCATCACTCGTCCAGTCTCCTGTCTCATTAGCCCCCCTGGGCCTGTGGGTATCTGATGTAGCCATGCTCCATGCTGTGACTATCCCATGATCTAAACTAAACTATACAGCCAGGAGACTGCCACCCCTTCCCTCTCCCCAGGTCAGCCTTCCCCTCCCCCTGGATTACTTGTCTGTCTCCTGCCCTCTCCTGTCTGCCTCCCACTCCTGCCCTGGGTGTCTGAGGCTGGGGATGGGAACAGCTCACCTGGGTGGAGGAGAAGCCCCCATTGGGATTCTGCTGCTTGCTGATCCACTTTGCAATTTGAGCTGCTAATGACAGGTCATCTTGGGATGGCGCCAGCTGATTGGTGAGGTAAGTGAGGAGCACGTAGGACGTCATCTCCACCTCGGCGGAAGGAGCACGGAGGTGATAGAAGGGGAGATCGGCTTTCGGCTCCTTCCCAGGCCTCTGCCAGTGAATGGAGCCATCTGCAGCGGGAGAAGGGAGAGGGAGGGCAGGAGAGAAGGAAATACAGATGCTTAGTACATGCCATTTCTAAGGGGGTTATTGACCTTCTGCTGCTGCGGGTGGGAGAACAGAGCCCCCCGTGCTCGTTTGGCATATTGACATGAGACGTGAAAGGATTAAATAGTCCCTCACTTGCTGGTCTAGTGGATTTATACAAAGCTTGTGGTACGAACACTCAGTGACTAATCAGGCTGCCACCTCTGTGCCTACATCCCCTTTATCTTATGAAGGCACATCCCAGGAATGGACAGTAGCAGCCTTTATTGGGCTCTTTGATCCAAAAAGTGTGAGGTCGCTAAGTGGCCCCAGGCGCTCAAGGCCAAAGGGTTACAGCAGTGACGGTCACACCCCACTCCAGCAGGGTGAAGAGCCCATAAGTCCTTGTCTTACCAGCACAGTCCCAGTTCTTCCTGGGATTTCCTGGGACACCAGAACCTTATTTTGGGCCCCCCAGAATGATCTGTTTTTTCATTTTATCAGTCCAAACATCAGGCTTCTCCTCTTCGTTTGTCTCTTGCTGTAGGGAGCAGACGTCACTGTGTGCTGCCAGGGGCCATCGCTCCCATGGAACGATTGTCCAGAGCGAGGAGCAGTGAATGGAGCGGAGCCAGCGAAGACACCGGCAGAGCTGTGCTATTGCTCAGTGGGAATTGTACCTTTTGGTCAAGTTTCAGGATATGCTCACTCACAGCACTGAGGTGTGGGGGGGGACCCTCAGATACACCTGTGTCGCTACAAAGTTAGGCACCGGCAGCCCCGGCTCCAGCTCTCATTTAAAAAAAGTTCCCTTTGCCTTTATATGAATATTTCAGCGCCTTAAGAAAAGCAACAATCAAACCGTCCCCACAGGAACTTGCCCTAGGGAAAGGGGACCCGGCCCCAACTCTCTCCTCCTTGGTAATGCCCCCTACGTCTGGGGAGCTGTAAGGCATCTCCCAGTGTCCTAAAATGTGCCCCCTTGATGCTTCTCTCCATGTAATGCCCCTTGGACCAAACCATCCTCTGCCTCGCCTGCTGCCCCCTGAGCTGCTCTCGGTGCTGGCCCATCCCTGGGCTGCTGTAGCCACCAGAGCCTGTG